ATGTTCCCTGCTTTACAGAAATTATTACTGAATAAAAAATGTATTTGATAGAAGCAGTTGAGTTAAATTCTAAGCTATAATACAATAGCACTGCCGCACTTACTGTCCATCAGTTGTCAAGTGAACAAGTACATACTTGAGGGAACATGTGGGGCATAGGCATAGGAAATATTAGAATGTCCCTCAGTTGGCTAGATAGGAAAACTCAATATTGTGGAATGGAAAAGGCAATAATTAATACGAGATAAAATAAAAAAGAAAAGAGGATTTGTTAAAAGAGACCTAATTTTTTCTCGATAATGTACATTTTATCAAAGTAATAGTAACTGTGACTTTGTTAATACTACATCCACCAAAGTCAGTGGAATTATTATAATGAAGAAGAAAATTAAGCTTAATGACTTACTATTTGAAAAGTAAAAAAGCTTTTTAAAGAAAAATGCCATTTAATTTTTTTTCTTTATAGTAATAGCACTCTGTTTTGGTCATAAAAGTTTAAGAGTAGTAAGGATGATGTTTGCTGTTCTCACAAGAGTGTGTGACTTCTTTTGAAATCGAATTTTGAAAGATTGATATAATTGATTGTTAAAGCGTAGTGCATTCTTACTATCATATAAAGTATTTTGCCATTTTTGCAAAAAGCTTGGTTGTGATTTTTCTTTGTTTACTAATCTAAACAAATCTGAAAACCTGATCAATTCCTGTGGAGAGGATCAGACAGAAATTCCACAATTTCAGGTAATTCTGAGGCCCTTATGGTGATATAAAATGTAATTCTCCCTGGAAGGTCTGATCCCATCAGCACCAGAGGCTGGTTGCAGAGACAGAGGCTACCACCTTTACATACAGTGAGTAGTATGTTTCTTAATAGCTATCCTGGTGATTTAATAAATTAACTGTTTTTTCTTTGAAAATTCTAGTATGCATTTTTTACTTTGTATAGCATAATTTATGCTCGGAGAGCCTCTTGACCATATACAGCCTAATGGCTCTGTCTGAGCTATTGTGATGTATCACGTCAGCAAAATATATATTGCATATGCCAAAAAGTATCCATTTACTTGACTGACTAACAGCCCTTAAATAATCATTATGGCACTTTGATCTGGAATTTAAAGACCACTGAATTGATAGAAGTGGGAGAAACATATTTATTTCAAAGTCAATATGTTCCCATAAAAAATCTTCAAAGGAGATGTTTGACGTAGAGAACTGAAATACTCTGTCCCCTTTTATCTGAGGATCTTGAAACAATTTGAATATTTTCTTTAAATGCCTCCCTCATGTTTTGTCCTTGAAAACAGGAATTAAGCTTAGAAATAAAACAATTATATAGATGGTGAAATATCTATAATACATATTTCATTCTCAACTTGCATGACTGGCCTGATGAAAGCTCTGATCTTATTCTTCCATGGGGAAGAGACATCCTCATTCAGAAGACCCCCACCTGAGGAACTGTAACAGCAGACCCCATACTTCTGCTCAGTATATTTAGTTTTAATAGTTGGTGCTTTAATTAATATTATTTAATTAGAGACTCAGTCCAAAGCAGTATGTTACTTCAGAAAGGTCTATATAATAATTCAAAAAATATCAGAGTTCAATTAATGTAGCTGCTGTTGCAGGTGGGTCTGAGGGACCTGTGCGGTTGTGGTTCACCTCTCTGAAAATGTGGTTGGGTTCACAACTTCTTAGTAACACTACTGAAATTTACTGATATGAAAATGGGATATCCATAAGTATGTTCAGTAAGTGTTAACTTCTCACCTTCTCACCATCATTTTTGCTCTCTTTGATTTCTTTACTGGCTATTTTTTTCCCAGAACCTTCCACATAGAAATTTAAATTTCAAGTGTCATTACTTCACTGAAACTAATTTGTCCTTATTATTCCTCATTACCTTTTATCTTGTAATTGCTCTTTAGAGCTTCATGCAATCTACCTATTACATCCCTCTATGTGTGCTTTACTAGTCCTGATTTTTTTTTATAAGCAACATGGTCAATATATACAAATGGTAAGCACCAACCTGATTTGCTATCTGCAGTAATTGGATTCTGCATTTAATTACAGGTGCTAATGACATTTTAAGCACCTTATACAGGTGTTGGGGGGGGGGGGGGGATTTATGAAATGTTAAGCAACATTAAGAAAGTCTAAGCTTCTGGAACATGGCCAAATTTCAGAGGTGCCTTTCAACTACAAATTGCAGTTTTCATGTGAGGATAATTATAGATCTGGCCACCTGGACTGCTCCTGCTGGAGTCAGGCAGAGCAGAGGAGTAAGTCTGTCTGCAAGCCACACTTTGCATCTTCTCTCTTTCTACGTGTTTTCATTTAAAATTATTCCAAACATATTATGTGGTGCATTCTGATCAATAAAACTACTTCACAGCCATATTTTTGTGTGTGTGTGCTGGTCAAAACCAGTGGCAGAATACATTATTGTGTATTGGCAGTGTAGCTGAGATTGGATGACCTTGGAAAAGATATTTGAATTATGTTGATGGCCTCCTTGATCTTGGGGGAGTTTTAATTCACAACTATAATTCCAGCCTGAGAAAATTAGACGAAGATTTGTTTAGGAGGTAATGGGAAAATATATGGCCAGTAAAAGGAGCTGCCTTCTCCTTCATCACTCATGTAACTTCTCCTGAAAAACTTTTTCATAACAATGGCATTTAAGAGTTAGCATTTCCAAAAGCAACATACATTCTCCTGTTCCTTCAGTCTTTCTTTTTAAAAGAAAATGAAAGAGGCAGCAGTTTTATATGTCCTGTAGAAACCTAATTCAGTTTTTAATTTCTCATCCTTTTCTTCCCTTCCTACAGATCCTCTGCTTGTTAGTGCAACAGTCCAAAGGCTTATCCTGCCTGTGCTTGCACAGATCTGATTGCCTGCACGCTGCCAGCCAGGCCAGGGAGCTTGAGCTGCCAGCTACGGGGCTCAAGCTGTTCCTGTTGGAACACACAGCTTTATTTCTGAGACTGATCTTAATTCTTCATCTCTAATAGCCTTTTCTGGTGTGAAATCCTGGCTTTAGTGACGTCAGCAGGACTTTAGATCTGAGGACTTCCAGCCTTTTGAACTGCCATTTAATAGGCACATCATTATTCTGTGATACTGTAGTGCTTGTCCCTGCAAATAGGTGTTACATCACAGGCACACCTTGGGGGTATGCATGCAACCAACCCTGGGGTTGTTTACCCTGGAGAAAAGGAGGCTGAGGGGAGACCTTATCGCTCTCTACAACTACCTGAGAGGAGGCTGTAGTGAGGTGGGGGTCGGTCTCTCCTCCCAGGTAACAAGTAACAGGACACCAGAAAACGGCCCTGAGTTGTGCCAGGAGAGTTTCAGATTGGATATTTCTTCACCTAAAGGGTTGTCAAGCATTGGAACAGGCTGCCCAGGGAAGCGATGGAGTCACCATCCCGGGAGGAATTTAAAAGATGTGTGATGTGGTGCTTAGGGACATGGTTTAGTGGGGGACTTGGGAATGCTGGGTTAACGGTTGGGCTTGATCTTAAAGGTCTTTTCCAGGCTAAATGATTCTATGATTCTATGCTGTCTATGTAGAACATTTCTGCCTATGAAATGTAAAACCAAGCAAATATCTTTAAAAAATGTTGTGGATGAAACTAAAAAATCAAGAACAGCTAAAGGTGAAGCTAACACTAATACCTTGCTTGTCTCTACCAAATTAACTAGCTGACCTTTTATAAGTATTATAATCTTGGAGTGATTGGCATGATAGAACTAAGACTTTATTTCTCCTTGCAGTGGTTCTGACCTCTGCCTGGATGTATAGATCTGCTTTATATTTTGTTTACAAGATCAGGTACTTTTATAGATTCACAGTTTCTGTATTTTTATACATGGTGAAAGTATATTCTAGATCACTCATAAATTAATCCATAAATAGTCCGTAATACATGGAGCTCATTGCAGTTCATCACACTGATTCACGTTAGACAGTGGCAGTACTTTTCCCTCTCGATAGTTAATGCTGAAACCAACTTCCTGTTGGAAGTCTTCTCTTAGCTTCTCTACAGTTATATCAAAGAAAAAGGAAAAGGTTCTGCAAGTTAAGCATGCCAGCTGCTACTGTGGTTTTGTTTTAGTTCTTATGGAATCTTTTTTTTTTTTTTTTTTTTTTTTTTTGCTCAAAGTCAACATGAACTTCAAGTGTTTCTCCATCTCATTATCTCTTGTACCAGTAATACAAGGGATGGACTAACCCAGAGGCCAGGTCCTGCTCACTGTCAGGCTCTGGTGTGGAGCCACCCAGTGTGGCTGGCTGAGGTATCACCCTCCCAGCATGTACTGGTGTTTCACCAGTCTAGCATTAGTTCATACAGGGTATCTGGGAGAGGAAGAGGAATGAGTACCAGTACACACATCCTGTTCTTAATTTCTTCTTTATCAAGTATGCTTTTATGTCTGGTATCAAGAATTAAAACAAAATTATACACATTAAATTACTGACCCTCCTGTAAGGACATAATACCATCTCAAACGCTCCTTTGAGGGATCCCAAAGCTGGACAAGGTTTCTCCAGGAGACTGGATTCAGAGCCTTGTATTTTTGACTGCCTTGCAGACCACTGCATTCCAAAAGCACTACAGTCAGCTTAGTTTCCAGGGTCTAAAGGTCTGACTTTGGGCTGTTGTAAGACAAACATAAACCTTCTGAAGTAAATGAAAAGCTGTCGACAAATTTTGAGTTTGTTGTTTTTAATGATTATGGTCCTCTATCTGTAATGAGATAAAGAAGTGTTTTCTGACATCCAGGTTGCAAGTACATACTATGTACGCAGAAGTTGCATTCAAAGCTTGTTGCACAGACGTCAGGTCAAATACTGAGAAATACATATAAAAGAAAAGATAGCTTTAATCACTGGTCTTCGCTAAAATCTTGGTGAGAATCCATGGGACATGCTGAGAAGTTAATTTTCAACGTTATGTTCCCCAAAATAAAGGAAGCTCTTCTCTTTATAGGGACTGATACGATGACAATCTTCAAACTGTTACCACTGACACTGGAGGACATTCGTACTGCCTCCCACTCACCCATCATGTGGAGAAGCTGAGGACTTTTCTGGCAACATGCTTTGGGAAGAGGCAAGCGATAGCAGTTTCGGGATCCAGTGGTGTATTTTCCCAAGTGTTTTGCATTTCTGGAATCCGTGTTACAGCACGTAACTCTCTCATTTGCCACTCTACTGATCACTGTTGTTCCCATTTGTAAATACTGTGATGTCTTAGGTAAATTTGGTCAGGAAATGGATCTTCTTTATTTTTGATATCTTCATTTTGGGGGAAAACAACAATCCAAACCAAATCCAGCCAAACAAACCCTAGGTTTTTATATGAAGGAGGATCTCTTCTTTAACAAAAACCTCCCCAAAATGTTAATGGATTTTATTCATTAGTCTGTGGGCAGATTGATTTTAAGTTATATTTGCTTAAGTAGCTGCCTTTTTTCTTCTATTTTAATGAAAAACAGATTGTAAAATATTTTGAATAAATATTTTCTTTAGGACGGAGAACACACAAGTAGTTATATTGTCTACAAGGATATTTGATAAACAGCAGTTCCTCTTTAAGATCCTAATTTTCATGCATAGAACAACTCAGAGGTTTCCATGGGCTGAGGGGTCTATCCACAGGAACAATGTTGCATGTTCAGGGTTTTACCCACTATAAGCTGGTAGATAGATTACAAATATAAAAAAAATAAATCTAGATTTTGCAGAAAAGGTTTTAGTGATTAAACTTATTTCCACTAGCCCTGATAACAGTCTGTTGTGTCATTTTGATTTTATTTTTCATTTTTCTTCTGTACGAATGAGTAAGTTCCCAGTGTATGTTCATGGTATGGAATATGCCATGAGTGACGGTTGTCTTATGCTTCTGGAGATGGACAGCTGTAGATGAGTGGGTAGCATATAACCTCACCAGTATGGTGGGAAAAAGAAAAATTAATGGTAAAAGTTCCCCAGGTCAAGTGTACCCTTGGGAAGACATACCCTGTGCATCAAAGAATTATACCACTACCTTTTCCTCATGAGAAAAATAAATACTGATAACTCAAAATGGCAATTTCTACTACATTTTTATTTAATGCTTTCTCTACTGAGCTCACTTTACTTATCTAGAAATCATTCTTGTCCTCGACTAGCTATTATTAATGTGTTCTGTAGGTTTCCTTAAATAAAAAATAATATTTTTACTTAAAGTTTACACCCACGGAAAATATTTTACAGGTGTGAGTTTAAAAAAAAATACAAGTATTTGGCTGTAACTAAGATAATGTGGGTTGTATACAGTGTGATAGAGAGAACAAAGGCCATTCACTTTTTAAACAAAATGTTGCCCTTGAAATGTTGGGAAAACTGCATGGGAATTTTGGAAAAAGGCCTTCTGTCTTGTGTTAGGAAAACTGCTGAAGCTGTCAATGTTAGTTTTGTCACAACGCTAACAAACTCACCCCCAGAAAATGGAGCAGTATGAACATTAAGGGAAATTTATACTTTCCTGATGGCAACAGTGTGGCTCTTTTGTGGGTCTGACGCCAAGCTTGCTTCCCCCAGGGACCAGCGTGAGGATGCTCATGCTGAAAACTCAACTCAGCCTCCGCGGAGCCGCTCTCGCTCGGCGGAGACCAGCCGGGAGCCCCGGAGCAGAGAGGTGTCCGGGTGAGTGGGGCTGGAGGGAGCAGGAGTCTGCCGGGGGGAGCGGGGGTACTAGTGACTCTTTGGGAAACTGGAGGGAATAATTTGATGTACTGTGAACTCTAATAAACCAGACTCCCAAAAGAGAAGTGAATCGAAGCAAAGGCCAACTACCACATTTCCCTCAACTGGAGCAAAGTGAAGCAAAGACAGTGAGACGGACGAAGCAGTCAGATCAGGGAGTAGTAATAGTTTATGCTGTTTGCCACAGCTGATGTGTGTTTGTTTTCCACTTCTCACCTCCCTGTGCAATCTCAGGCCGTGCTCTGTACTCTGTCCTTGTTTATATTTGATGTCACAGCAAGAAGACAAAGTGCCATTAGCTTTTACTTGAAAGGTCATATTGAATATATTTTCCTCTAATCTGAGGGATTTCAACCATAACAAAATAAAATAAAATTTTAAAATCTGGGGTAAGCAAATCCCCTAACCTGATCAGATCACAGAGAAATGAAGTTAAACACCGAATAATATATTAGACAATTACTGCAAAATTGCTCAACTCACTTCTCAGTCACTGGTGTCACTTGTTCTCTGTGCGAAAGAGAATTAATTCCTCCATATTTAGGAAAAGATCCTAAAATCAGCGCACTGAAGACATATTTATTGTGAAGCACATGGGTAATCCCATCCCTGCCAGTAAATGTGTTGGGGTACCAGATGTGCTGCTGAGCTCCCTGGGCTGGATGGAGATTTGGATGTCTCAGCTAAGCCATGGCGACTGACCCTAGATATGAGCTTTACCTGTCCTAAATACAGAATAATGTCCATCAGCCTCAGCATCGTAGAAGAAGCCTTTCCCTCACATTTGGAATGGGTTAAGAGAGCATACCTTGTCATTTCTGTTTAGCTGAATACTTCTTAAGCTGCAGGAACTCAACTGTACGGCTGAGCTTTAAGTACCTTTTTGTAACTTCAAGCATAAGTTTATGTGGTTTGCTGAAGCAGGGCTTACATTTTTAAATCATTGCTAACATTTATGCAAGTGCTTAGTTTCAAGCATTGTCAGTACTCACACTGGACTTTGATTTATCCATTGAGAGGCTGAACTATAAAGAAGAAACAAACCTAGTGGGATAGTTTCCTGTGTAAATGTAATTCATAAATATTTGCAGAATCAGGTCTGCAGGTTCGCATATGTCCTGTAGCTATTTTATGGTTTTGAAAATGTTGCCTGTTCATTTTGTAACTTTTAATTTTTTTTTGTTACTAGTACAGTGTTTGAAATTAATTTTCAAATTTTATTCTCTGTTGATGAGGGAAAAAAAAAAAAGTACCTATACAGTGTTAAGGTGAATATTGACCACAAGGTGAGCAGGACCCTCTTTTTTGTCAGAAGCTTGCTTGTCAGCATGCTGGTGATAGATCAGATGTAAAGAAAATCACTTCTGCAAAACCAATTTGCTAAGGGGCTTGTAAAATCCATTTTTAAAAAGTTACTGAGGCGAAAAAGTGAAGGACCAGCCAACCAGATATTTTGATCGGCTCTTCAAGGTCAAAAACTGATTACTAATTCATCAAATACCTTACTGGTAGCACTGTTTGAAGAGCAAACAACTATGTGCAGATGTTCTACCTAATAATTCTAATACCGTGAAAAGATGGGTAGGGTAGAAACAGAATTTTTTACTTACTTTTGGCAATGCTACAATCATAGGAGCTGTGGTCTTCAAAGCACTGGCAGCCCAGTTCAGTACACTGTCCATTGCCATTACAGAGAGCAGGACACCGGAGAATGGTGAGGATTTCCTCCTGGGTAGCAGATGGCTGGTTTCCTACATGAAACACTCTGTTTCCTAGCACTCTTCTTTCACATTCATTTTCCAAAAGGGCTATCAGTGCTCTCACCCAAGCCACATCATCTTTGAGCTGCAGATCTAAAAGGCATATATCAATTGCCTCGTCCATCTGCTTTCCAAGAAGACCTTTGCACACTAAACCAATGGTGGAATTTGCAAGAACTTTGTGGCAAATCTCCTGAGCTTTGGTGGCAGTTAGACCATTAGGAGTGGGCCATGACAATGGAAGTTTTGTCCGAATTCCTTCAAAGTAATCTTCTGGGAAAAAATATGCAAAGCTCTCTGAGTCTCTCTGGCTTGGGCCATGCAACGGGTGAAAGGATGAGTACTCATAATAGTAATCTTGCCTTTTTGCTCTTCTTAAGTCTTCTGTTGCTCTGGTAGAGTTAATGGAACTGTTGTTTTTCATGGAAACATTGTGTGCAAGGGGTTTTAATTGGTCCTTGGGTCTGTCTCGTTTTTGGAGTGATTTAAGCAGATATCTTTGATCAAAAGACTTGGTTGACAGTTTCTCATTTTTTCTTAAAGTAGACTCTGTGTGAGTGACAAACTCTGATGTAACATCTAGATATGGGATTGCAGAGGTGTAATCCACATGATCATAGTGGCAACCAGAAAACTGAGGGAAAGGAGTCTGAAAGGCATTCAGTGTGTTTATCACAGGTACGGACGTGGTGCTCTCCTTCTGACATCTGCAGTAATTTTCCCTTTGCTTCCTCTCAGAAGGTGCTGGAGTCCTGTCAAATAAACTCTTCCCTGGAGGTATTCTGGTTTAAAAATAGAAAGAGATTAGAGGGAAGAAACTTTCAACAAATTAGTCTACAATACCAAGTAAACTTACTTTCCTTGAGGCTGGGGAATGCATAAATTCCCAATATACCAAAGTACTCAGGAAAATGCTTAAGTTTAATCTCTGTTTCCTTTAGTAGCTTTTGTACTGCCCTTCTTGAGTTGTCCTGTACATTTTTAGCACTACATGGGGACTTTTTAGTAACAGATGCTTAAGTGCTTTGCTGGAGTGTTGCCTAACTACTTGACTTCTCTTTGCAGAACTTTCTCTAAGGTGCAGGTTACCCTTTGCATATTACACATGAAACAAGGCCTTGGATTTATCCCTAGTGTGACTCAGATACAGCTTGAAGAATGACAAAAAAGATGTATTTGTTTCAAATGTTTTATTATGAAAATCGTCTTTATCTGTTCGCCTGTGCTCTCCTTACCAGGTGTTCCCTCTAACACTTGGATCACTATATTTTTTTCTTTTCTTTTTTTTTTTTTCATTTTTAATGCATTTCATTTCTATCTTCTAATGGAGCCTTCTTTGAGTTTTTATTTTGACACAAAGCAGTTTTCTATTGACCATAGAGCTAGGCTATCAAATAAGGAGAAGTGATTTTTTTTTCCATTTTTAATTTAGTCCAGGTATAATGATAGATGAACTTCTAGAGAGTTCAATTTGAATAAACAGCCATGATTAAAGTTGTGCAACACAAGAGGAATTCTGGAGCTTCATAGAAAAAGCTATGTTTCTTGTCCCAATAGTTGGCAGCACTTTATTTCGAGATAAATTTGAA